ATTTGACTTACTTTGTTCAGAGTCACCCCGAAGTGGTGTTTCTGGGGAAGGTGACAGTTTAAGATAGGGTCAAAAATTCCATGGACAGGATTCAGAGAATCCTTCAATACAAAAATCTGAAGCTACCTGCAAAAATGTGTGTGCATGTTGCATTTTTTTCCGGGTAGCAGATTCAAACTTTCCAAGATTTTTTCCCTTAGGCCTTCAAGATTAAGAATCACTGGTATCCTCAAAAAAGTTAAACACAGAGTTACTATATGACCCAGCAATTCCACTCCTAGGTATATCCCTAACAGAACTGCAAACATATGTTCACACAGAAACACACACACAAATGTTCACAGCAGCATTATTCATAACAGCCAAAAAGTGGAAACAACCCAAAAGGCTATGAACTGATGAAAGGATAAACAAAACGTGGTATATCCATGCAATGGATGTAATTTAGCCACAAAAAGAAATGAAGTAGTGATACATGCTACATGGTTGAACCTTTAAAATACTGCTAAGTGAAAGAAAACAATCACAAAAAGTCACGTTGTATAATTTCATTTCTACGAAATGTCCAGAACAGGTAAATCTACAGAGACAGAGAGTAGATTAGTGATTACCAGGAGCTACGGGGAGGAACTCATAGTGGAGTTCTGGTGGTGCAATGGTTAAGAGCTTGGCTGCTAACCAAGAGGCTGACAGTTCAAATCCACCAGCAGCTCCCTGGAAACCCTATGGGGCAGTTCTACTCTGTCTTACAGGCTCGCTGTGAGTTAGAATTGACTCGACAGCAATGGGTATGGGGAGGAAAGAATGGGGAGTGACTACTAATGGGTTGGAGATGATGATAATGTTCTGGAATTCGGTAGTGGTGACAGTTGCACAACCTTGTGAATATATGAAGAACCAATGAAGTGTATACTTTAAAACGTGAACTTTATGATATGTGAATACTAGAAAAAATAATTAAATTCAATTTAAAAAACAAAAGAATCACCAGTTTAAATAATCCTAGGGCCACAACCTACTGCTAATATCTGTGAGTCCTGCCACATTCTTTGAAGCCACATGTCCTCCTCTTCCCCAGCTGCATGTGTGACACCTCCTTTAGCATCATCCTCCCATACCTAAACTCCACGCATTCATGTTAAAACTCAGCATTGCTCTCAACCACTTCCTCTCCTTCAGTTTCCTAACTCATGTCTAGTTTCTCAGGTTGGGAAACCTCAGCAATACGTCCCATTTCTTTTTTCTCAGTTTCAACATCAACCAGTCACCAAGGCCAGCACTTTCTATTAATAATAAAAAGGGTTATCGCTCATGAATGCCTGATTCCTGCCAGAGACAACACTAGATGATCTATATATTGCCTTTAATTTTCAAGACCATGCATTTTACAGAGGAGGAAACTGAGACTCAGAGGGGTTAAGTATCCTGTCATTTGGTCTTTCTCCCTCCAATCTATCCTCACCTTACAGTCAGAGTGATCTTCCTAAAACCGAATCTGATCATGTCACTCCCTCATTTAAAGCCCTTCAAAGGCTTCCGACTGTCTCAAAGTCTGGACTCCTTAACTCGGCATAAGGTGTTCTTCAGGATCTCTCTTTCTCACCACTCCTCACACAACTTCCGTGAGTTCCTGGACCATGCCATGCTCTACCTTCTCTTGCCTTTGGATTTGGGTTCCCTTACTCATTCACTCAACAAATATGTATTAAGTGCCCATTATGTGGCTGGTAGCATACCTGCTGCTGGGCACATGGTGGTGAATGAAACAGACATAGTTCCTGCCCTCAGTTACTGAAGATCTATTGGAAGAAACAGATAATAAACAAGTAATTACAGATGACTTGACTACTGACCAAAAGGCTGGCGGTTCAAAAACACCCAGAGGTGGCTTGGAAAAAACATCATAGCCTTGAAAACTCTATGGAGCACAGTTCTACTCTGCACACATGGGGTTGCCATGAGTTGGAATTGACTTGATGGCAACTGGTTTGGTTTTGTGGGTTTTTTTTTTAAGCTTAGGAGACAGGGGAGAGTCACAATGACCATTTTAGATAGGTGGTCTAGTAAGGTCTCAGGAAATAACATACTTTAAAACTTGAAGATTAAGAAGTCAACTATATGTGAAAAGCAGACAAGAGGAGGTGAGTAAGGGGCAAGTATTGCCACTGGCACATCAGCAGAACTCAGACCAAGGACTTTTGCAGGCCATTGTTAGGAATTCAGATTTTATTCTAAGTGCAGTGAAATCCACTGAAGAATTTTCAGTAACAGAGTGTCATTTTTTTGATGCTGAATAGAGAAGAGACTGGAAGTATACAACATACGATATAGGGAAAACTGCTGAGAAGAAATGATGATGATTTGAACTAGAGCCTGATAACGAAGAAGGAAAAAAACTGGACAGATTAGACACAGAATTGGTCTGACTTGCAAAGTCATCAGTTGGAAGTTAGAAAGAGATGAAGAGAGAATGTACAGAGTTTGAGGAATTGTTGTTGGAGAAAGTTAGAAAGTAGGCTTGCCAGAGAAAAAGAGGATCTAAAGGATCTCAGGCCTATGTGGAGTGATTTTTCAAGAGGCTGGCCCTTTTGATTTTATAGTGTAATCAATTTGTTCAGGACTTTTTTCAACAAAGTTCAGTCATACAGGTGCAGCTGCAAAGAGGGCAGAAGTTTAGGTTCATCCAGAGTAAGGGTTTTGCCAGAAGAATAAAATAAAGGGAGGGACAACAGAATACTGTGTTTTCATGGGAGACATTAAAACAATAAACCATGACATACTCTAAGCTGGATAAAGGGGTGCAGATGGACAGAAAATGGAAGAATCAATGAATTGGAGGTCTAGACGAAGTTTGAGAATTATCTCCCTAGGGTACCTAAGTAACTGTGCTATAAAAGGTAGGAGTTTGTCCTTTGGGACACAGCAAAGGCAGTCCTCAGAAGACAATTTATAGCAACAGATGCACATATCAAAAAAGAAGAAAGGGACAAAATCAAAACATTAACTACAGAAATCAAACAAATAGAAAGAGAACAGCAAAAAAAGCCCACAACCACTGGAAGAAGGAAAATAGTAAAGATCAGAGCA